GGTGCTGTTGGTGCCCATGTGACTCACCTCCTCTGGGCTGGGAGCAGTGGAACAGTGGCCCAGAAGCCCCTACCTTTGGTCTGGGAGTGGTGGAAGGGTAGCCTGGAAGCCCCTTCCTCTGGGCTGGGAGCAATGGAACAGCCCCTCCTTTTCATTTTTGATAATGAAAAATTTGTCCTTATTCACAATATATTTGTGCAAATTTGCACCATCCCTAATGTACAGAAAGTATTTTCAAAATCATTAACCCATATGTCTATGAAAAGAAATCTACTCAATATTTATAGATCTTTTTCACTTTAACCTTTGTATGTCTAGTCCAAATCTAGTACAAAGGGTACTTGGAATAATTCCTTTTCCATCCTTCTGTCCATAAATTGTTAATCAACTTTTTCTGTTTAGCTCCATATCTCACTCCATCCTTGTCACACCTGTTTGTTCAAACCTAGAGCCTCTTGGGGGTCTCCAGGTTCCCTTCTTGGCTGCAGCCCTTCTCTGTGCTTTGTCTAGGGTTTCACCTCCCTGTGCCTGCTCCATGGCCTCCATTCCTTCATCCTCTTGCCAGTTTCCAGAAATGTTCACTCTTGCCTCTTCTCCCATTCTCTTTGTGGGTAAAGATTTATTTCTTCTTAAGGAGTCTTTTGCTATCATTTTAATGAGATCACAGGAGAAGAAGGAGATGTGTTCCCCACGTGCTGTCTCAAACTCACCACTTGGGTCTCTAGAGTCAGAAAGATCTGGGTTCACAAGCTGTGAGACATTGACAAGCTCCTTGAGCTCTCCAAGCTTAGTTTCCTCATCTAGGACATAGGAGTGAGAAGTCTCACATCACATGGATTTGACACTGATGGCATCAGATCAAGTGCATGAAGTGGCTAACGCAAAGCTTAACAACATGTGCAGTACATGACACCTGTCATTGTTGCCTGGATGTCATTCCTGCTGGTTTAGCCTCTCATTTGTTCAGACTCATGGCCTCACTAAGTGCTGAGCAAGTTACAGAGTCCCTAAGTATAGAAGGGGCAGGGAAGGCAAAACTCCCAGTGAGGCCATCCCAGGAATCAAGGCCAGAGCTGCCTGTGCTCCTGGCAAGAAGCTGCTTCTCCTCCCTTGGCTTGTCTCAGTCCCAGGATGTGCTCTTTGCCTGGAATTTTAGAACATCTTGCCTGGCCCTGGGTCAGATGGCCAATCAAGAGCCTGCCAGAGCTGAGTGCCAGTGCACCTCTGCTGGCTCACTCCTGTGATGCTGAGGATATATGACTTCCCCTGATGGCTGAGTGATGAGCTGGAGGTTTTGGTAGAGCGAGGCCAAATCTCTGTGTGGCTCCAGGAACAAAGATAAATATAGCCAGAGTAATTGCTTATGCTCTTTTAAGGATTAAAAGTCAGCTTTTGGGCAAGCTGTGAAGCTCCATGACCAGGACAACAAGGGACATGGTGCCATTTTTAGAGCTGTGGTCAGCACTCCTTGTGCGTTGTGGGATCCCAGGCCTCTACAGTGCTGCTGCCCCTTGTCTACTGGGTCATCCTCTCTGGTTCACACACTGAGAGAGCAGGGACAGGTCTGAGGTATTCCTTCCATATCCCTCCAGACAGCCCCATCTGGTTCACTAAAGGTGTTCAACAAACATTTATTTTGGGGGGGGGGTACCGGGGATCAAACTCAGGACCTTGCCCTTGCTAGGCAGGCCGCGGCATCACTGAGCTAAATCCCCAGCCCTCAACAAACCTTTTTAAATGAATGATTTCTGAGAGGATTACATTTCTAAAATAGCCTCTAAAATAAGATTTATGGACCTGTGGACAGTAACATCACAATGCCAATTTCCTGGTTTTGACATAGATTGTATAGTAACAATACGAGATATCACCACTGAAGGAAGCTGGGTGAAGGGTATGTGGGACTCAATACTATTTTTACAACTTCCTGTGTGCCTGTAATTATTCCCAAATAAAAGGCTAAAAATACTCACTAATAACCTTTAGTCAGGATCATCTAACACTCATGACATTTGGAGGAGCCAGGGCTGGAAAATGAATCGATGCAAGAAAACCCAATTCACAGTAATGTTTTTGTTTTGTTATTATTATTGAATATAAATACATGATTTATTCATATGGTCCAAGACTTTAAATGTATAAATAAAGTATACAGTGGATAGTCTTTACCCCAACCACTTAGTTCTCTTCCCTCTGGGTAACCAGGGTTAATGGTATTCGTTTTTATGCTAATTTTAGTGAGGCTGTATGTATATGCATGTAAGCACTTGTGAGTGTGTATGTATGGATATAAGTATACTTATATGTATGTATAAATATGTATCCTCAACCACACACTCTTGATTGGTACCATTTTATAGACACTTTTATTTATCTTACTTTCTGTAAGTGATAATGCATCTTGCAGGCTTTTCACATCAGCACATCAAGAACTTCCTTTTCTTTTGTTGTGGCTGCACCCTGTCTTCTTTTATGACCCCAATTAGTGAACAGTTATGTCATTTCTAATCCTCTTGCTTTTATAAACAATGCTGCAATGAATAATTATATTCATTTGTCATTTCCCAATTGTGGGAGTGTGTTTGCAGAATAAATTCCTAGAAGTAGAATTGGGTCAAAGAGTATGAGCCTTACATCTCAATAGTGCTAAAGTATCCTCTATAGAGCTTATTCCATTTACATGCCCACCAGTCATGTGTTTTATAAGATGCTTGTATAAATGCAGTGAATTTAAAAAGTTATTTGATGACCCCTTTGTGAGTTGGGTTAAAAGCTATGGGGCTTTAACCAAGAAAAACACATTAGCCAATGTTTTGTATACAGTTTCAATGGGCTTAGAGACACACAAAGAACCCTATCTTAAGAAACTGTGGCTGAAGGGGCAGCTGTATGGTAAGAGGAAAGAGCTTTAGGAGCAAAACCACTAAATTCACATTTCAGTCCTAACACTCATGTCTGTGGAACATTGGGCAAGTTATTCTACTTCTTTGAGCCTCAGCATCCTTTTTGAAGGAAAGATATAATAGTTCTATCCCACAGGACACTTGTGAGATACATGTATCCCTTTATGTAAAGCATCTAGTAGAGTATGAGGAATATAGTGATTTAACGTATGGCTTTGTACACGTATACATGTGTGCACACACTCACTCACATCCACATAAAGCCTTGGATTTTAGTTCATCCTCTGGTTCCAGGGGTCTCTGTAGTCACCAATACTGAATTCACAAGATAACCTCTGGAGCAACATTCCCCAAAGCAAGGCCTTTTGGCCAACTGTATAAGAATCACTTGAAGGTTTTAATTCAAATACAGGTGTCTGGGTCCCATTTCAGATCCATAGAATTAGAATTTCTGGAAGAAGAATCCAAAGAGCTTCACATTTGGGGATTCTAAAGTGTGCTGAACTTGGCAAAGCAGTGCTAAAGAGTTTGGAAAGTTCTTTCTACTCCCTAGACTTTAATTCTGATAGCTCCCACCATGTGCATTTGCCAGTGGGAGGCTGTACCAGCAGACAGACAGGCGTGGACACTTGAAATAAAGTCTAGCTAGTACCCAAGGCAGCCTCCCCTAGTTTCATGGACAAAAATTACAATTATTAATAAGGGTAATGGATGGCATGCCTGCACCTCTACCAGCGGTCCCTCTTAACAGCGGGGAGGAGTGACAACCCGGGAATGTGTGCCAGAGGAAAGGGCCAGGAGGAGGCCTGGTGGGACAGGCTCCGTGGAGCAAGTCTGCTACAGCTATGGTGACTGATCCATGGCGAAGGCCTGGGGATGGGGACTGTGTAGGTCCCAGCAGTCATTATCAGGAGGGCTCAAGACCACAGGCTTTGGGCTCCAATCCCTACTGCTTTTGCTTCTGACTGGTGAATGTTCTCTGGGGTGCCGAATGATGGTCTAGGGTGAGGGCTCCTAGATTTAGCAAATACAAATACAGGATGCCCAATTAAATTTGAACTCAAGATGAAGAACACACAGTCTTTTAGTACAGCATACCCCATGTCATATTTGGGACTTACTTGTACTGAAATAAGTATGTAACTTTTTAAATCTGAAATTTAAATGTAAGTGGGTTCTCTGTAGTTATCTAGCAACTCTATGCAGGGCTTCTTTGTGCTGTCTCTCATCCCAGAAGGCCTGGAGGTGCTATGTAGATGTCCTAAGCTTGGTGCTCCCTGGTCTTGGCCTTGGATGGGAACTCTACCCTAGGCAGGGAGAACGAGTATGAATAGGGTGTGGACTTCCAGGAGAGAGACAGCCCTTCCTCTTCTGGGCAGGCCCCAGGCAGGAAGCCCATACACGCTGACCCAGCACTTACGAGATGCTGGCACTGTGCACTGGCACGTGGATACCATTTCATTTCATTCCCTTGTTGACCCAGCAAGTTAGGTATGATCACTATTACCCTCCCTTCCCACTTTACAGATGAGGAGACTGAGGCTCCGCGATACAGACACCACAGGGCTATTAAGTGGGGGAGCAGGGATTGATCTTTGGAGCTGGTGCCAGGTCTGGGGTTAGCCAAATCTCCCAGGCCCTTCTCTTCAGTGATCCCAAGGTGGGAAGAACCCCAGCCCCCAAACCCTCAGAACAGGAAACATTCCCAGTCTCTGCTGGCATTGGGCCAGGGCCTTATCCAGGCTCACACACTTGCTGGAGACTCAGGGTCTCAGGTGGGTCTGCAGAGCCCCTGTATCCCCACCCAGCCAGGGCAGTGCCCAGCTGCATGAGCTGCCCATGGGTGCTGCCGTCTGCTGTGTGGGATCCATAGGAGGGACTCAGGGTGAGTGGCTGCCTCACAGATCCAGCCTGTCTGAGGCCCAAGGCTGGCTGGTGGATCCCCTTCCCTTAGCCCCAGAGCTAGGCTGCAGGGGGCTCCCAGAGGAGCTCTGGCTCCAAGTCCCAGCCCCTCTTGGAGGAGGCGGGCAGCTGAGGCTCTGCAGCCAGAGGCTTCTCAGCTTGGAGCTCCAGAGCCAGATGTAACATTGACCTTAAATGGTAAAAGCTCCCCAGAGTGAAGAGAGGCTGGCCAGAGGAGGAAAGGGGAATAACTCAGTTTTAGGTAAGTCATCGCTATATCCTAGAATAACCTGCCTCTTCGGCCGGGAGGGAAGCAGAGGGATCCCTTCTCCTCCTTAAAGGTACAGGGTGCTGGGATGGGGGCGCTTCACTTGAACTTTCCAGGGGAGTTGGCTTTGTTGGGTGGCATTTCAGCAGAGTATTTTTATTGTTGCTGTCTTAAGTTTTAAATAAGAAGTCAATCTTGCCGGTCCTAACTTGATTCTGTTGTGCTCTTTTGCTGGCTGTTGGAAAGCACACACACCTTGGGTGAAGTGTGGCTTCTCACTGGAGGACACCCCCCACGCACACACCAGCTTTCATGGGGGTCCCTTTGTGGCACTGGAGGGATTATGCAAGCTTGCCAGGCCTGGCTTCCTTCCTTCTGTCCTTCCTGCGTCTCTCCTTCTGCCCTTTATGCCCCTGTATGTGAGCCCCATGCTGGCCCAGCCTGAGATCTCCACCCTTGACCCTGCCCCATCTCTGTCCCTGCCCCTCCTGTCCTGTGTTCTGGTCACAACCCATTTTTATCTCTGTCCTCATCTCTCCTTTTGTCCTCAGCTCTCCCACTTCCTGTACCCTTGCCTGGCTCCTTAAGGGGCTACACATTCTGTGTTTCTGCTTGGGCCCAGCCCTACTCCCCTCCAGGGGCCTGGCTTGAAGCTATTCCTAGAGTGAGCTGTTCTCAGACTGGCTTTCTCTGAAGGGAAGGCCAGTGGCAGCCAGAGGCCAGCTGCCTCGCTCCCTCCTGTGCAGTACACAGTCGTAAAAGCTGGAGAGGCTCTGCACTTGGTGTAAACAGCTGTGCAGCTGGGACCCCTGGCCAGCACTCTAGCCGTCCAGAGTGGCAGCTGCTGTTCTCCTAGCACCTCAGGCAGCTCTCAGGGTGGCAGGGGAAGCAAAGCAGGCTCAGGGCTTGGCTAGCCAGGCCTGATGCAGGGAAAAGCAAAAGCTTCCCAGGCTGTTATGCTGGGGCACCAGTGGGTGGTGATGCACCTGTGTGGGAGGTGGAGTTGCCCACCATCACACCAACACTGTTATGAGGAGGAAAGTCAGGTTAAGAGACTTGCCTAGGGTCATGCCATCAAGAAGAAGCAGAGCTGGGCTTGAACCCAGGTCTGTATGACTCTAACTCCAAGGCTCCTGCCCCTCAACACAACTGTGTGTGCCAATGGTGTCTTGCGATTTTTGATCTAATGAACAAAACAGCTGGCATTGTCATGTGTTTGCTCCATGATTCGGTGTGTGTGTGTGTGTGTGTGTGTGTGTGTTGTGTGTCTGCACATGTGCCGGGGGTGGCTGTATTCACAACTAACTGTCCCTTCCTCTATACTTGGTCGTAAGTGAGGTTTTCCTACAGACCCTCTCAGATCATCGGGGGGGGGGTATCCATATGCTACCTGCTACATCATGATCAGTCAGCCCCATATATATTTTTTTGGTGGGAGGGGGAGCAAACGTTTAGTTCTTACCAAACACTGAGCACTGTTTCAAGCCTTTCCTGCATCATAACTCACTACTCCCACAGCCCTATACAGCTATGTGTAGCAGTGACTACACAGCTACACTGTGTAGTAGATCACCACTACTATGGTACTATGATTACCATCCTCATCAGGCGGCACCACTGCTGGCATTTGACACTGGACAGCTGTCCCTGGAGACTCTGCTCTGGGCCACCATGCTCTGCCCACCTCTCTGAGAGGAGAGTGAGAGAAGCACCGATCCTGTTCCAGCACACGCATCTGGGCCATCACATGTGGTGGCATGAGCCCCTTAGAGCCATGTTAAGAGTGATGTATCATTACCTCGGTATTACAGGTGAGGACATGTGAGCTACAGGGGTTAAAGGACTTGTCCAAGCTCACCCAGACACCAAGAGGGACAGCAGAGGATTTAAATAGCATCTTAGGTAAATGTTGTTAGGGCCATGTGACACCATTCAAGGGAACTAAATTCCCAAGCAGCCCACCCAGCAGGCTCATTGCTTTGGGATAAAGGGTTTGTGAGCCCACGAGAGGAAGCTAGAATCCTTGCCTAATGGGCTGAGTTGCCCAGAATGAGTTCTCAGCTCCACTGACAGCCTGGCCTCTTTCCTCACCAGCCTGTGCAATGAAGCTGGACAGACGCACCCCACACCTCTAGCAGGGGTAGAGATTGAACCCAGAGTTTCCCACTGTGTGTCCAACACCCAGAATGATACCACGAGCATGCTAAGTATTCAGGATCAGTTATCTTTGGGCAAATAAATGGATATAATGCTTATTACAAAGTGTCCTGGTTAAACAGGGCCCTAGGTTTATCATGCACATGTTGCTGGTGGCCAGCTTCTTCTAGTCTGGCTTGCAAGGATGCAGGGTGGGATTTTTACATCCACCCCTCCCCACTTGCCACCACTACTGGTGGGCCCACAGAGCCACTGAGCTGGCCCACAGCATCCTCACTATAGCTTGACAACCAGCAGAGCCAGCTGGACGGAGAGGAGGGAGCCTGGAGCACTCAGATTCCACCCCTGCCCCTGTGCCTTGGGGAGCTGTCTGAGTCAGGGTAGGGAGATGGAGAAGGGAGATGTGGTGCAGAGCATGCACAAGGAAAGGGGAGGAAATGGATATTAATCGAACTCTCACTCTGTGCCAGGATCTGGGTCAGATTATTTCATTTCATCCTTGTTAGAGATGAACACACTGTGGTCCTGTGAGGGATCCAGCGGCTGGTGGTGAGCAGGGTTTCCAGCTCAGGTTGCCTCAATCCAAGTTGGGCACTTCCTGCATTAGATGTCACCCTGCCTCTAGTTAGCAGCTCAGGTCCTTGGAGGCCAGATTCTTGAGTTCAGGTCACAGCCCAGGGCAGTCTCACCTGAGGACCTTCAGGCCTGCCAGTGCCTTGCACAGGTGATGCCTGCCCATGACCTTGGACAAGCCCCACCTTCTGTGCCACAGCTCTCTCTAGGGAGGCAGAAAGCAGGTAGCAGTCAGTCAGTCAGACAAAAAAACCTTTTTTCCCAGCCAGCAATAGATGTTAAAAACAAAAAACAAAGGGCCAGGGATTTAGCTCAGTGGTTCCAGCACCTGCCTTGCAAGCGCAAGGTCCCAAGTTTGATCCCCGGTACCCAAAACAAAACACAAAAAACAAAAACAGTTTTCTAAGGCCAGGTTTAGATCTGGTTACTTTCTTCTATTGCTTCTTTTTTTTTGGTACTAGAGATTAAACTTGGAACCTTACACTTGTGAGGCAGGCAGCAGAACCACTGAGCTAAATCCCCGGCCCCTTGTATTGCTTCTTAAAAATCTAAAATTTTTATTCATTTTTTTCTGGTATATGTTCTTTGTTCAATTTTCTTAGGGAATATGGAACTGAGTATGTATAAGAAATTCAGAAATAAATATAAAGATTTAAAAACCCTCCAGAATCCCATCACTCAGAGATAAATACTGTTAATATTATAGTATATTTTTTCTTTATATTTCTCTATACTTCAGAAAACTAAGCTCTTACTGAAAATGTGATTTTGTAGTCTCTTTATTTAACTGAGTATTCAGTTACAATCATTTTCCCATATCATTAAAGATTCTTTAAAACTTTTTTTTTTTTTTTGGTACCAGGGATCAAACTTGGGACCTTGCGTTTGCAAGGCAGGCAGCAGCACCACTGAGCTAAATCCCTGGCCCTAAAACATTTTTTAATGGCTGGATAAGATATAGTAATTTTAGCTGTGCAACAGTTTAATCACCCTTCCTATCATTGACTTTTACAGTGTGCGTTTCCTTTGTCACTATCTCAGTGACACACACAATGTGCCAGTTTCCCATATGCCTGTGGTGTTTGGAGACTCAACTCTCAGTGGTGGGCTTATGTCGTGTGGCCCACAGTGTGGCCCTGCTCTGCAGGATGACGCTAAGTAGGATCCTGACCCAGCCCTACACAGACGAAATCACACTTCGAGAACATTACTTCCTCTTCAGTTCTTCTCAGTCCTTTGTATTAAGGAGGGGTCCTCTGAGGCTCGGTGACCAGCTGTCCGTGCTTGTCTGGGGACAGGTCTGGGCAGATCAGGAAGCTGGTCACCTTCATTTGAATCCAGTGCTTCAACATCTTTCTGACTCTTATTGCTCTTTTTGACAAAATGACAGCAGGTCTCAGGCAGGGCGCCTTTGATATGCATTAGCTAGCATTTAATAACAGTTTCCATTACATTTACTTTTACCATAACTCTATTTGTGGTAAGTGGTACAGATTTTCCCATTTAAGATAGGGACAAAAAATTTCCCTTTAAATAACAATGATAGTGGTAGCTAGGGCTCACTGAGTGCTTGCTGTGGGTTAGGTGTGTTCTAATGCTTTACATGCAGTAGCCGTAGAACAGCTCAGCAACCCCTGGAAGTAGTTATCATCATTATCTTCAGTATACATATAAGGAAACTGAGGCACAGTAAGGAACTTGCCCAACAACACAAAGCTAATAGATTTCAATCTTGGCTTTTCGGCTTATGGTTATTGAAATGAAATAATATTAAGTAAATACATGTATAAATTAAATGCAGTTATGAGTAGAAAAAGTAGTGTGCAAATAACCCAAGTGTAGGAAGACTGGCTTGGTGGAATCAGGGTATCATGAGTGTAGGGTGTGTGGGGCACTGAGCCTTTCTAGCAAAACCAAGGGAGAAGCTGGAAGAGGCTGACCACACACTGCTCGCAGCCTGGCCATAGAGGTGGGATATTCTCGGAGTGGCCTCCCTGGGGAAGGACACACAGAGGCCAGAGAGTTCTGCTGCTGACACACCATCCAAGAGGATGTTTCCAGCAAGCCCAAGACTCTGGTCATCAGAAGGAGAAAGCCTGAAGATCCCCTTGACTTTGCTCATGATAGTGTGGTCCAAGGCACACTGGACCTGACTGGGGACATGGGCTCAGCACTGACCAGCTCTTCCCTGGTCATCACAATGGGGCAATGGTGCCTCATGTTGGAAGCAGCCTGGTCCCATGATAGGAAGATGGACCCTGGAG